ATGGACTACCATATTTGATGACATAATGCATTTAATATTACAAAATTATGGAGTTAGGTTCAGTAAAAGAATTTATTATATACAGTATCAGGGTAAACATTGAACTCTAAGATATCTCTACTTTTTATATAACATCTGGAAGATATATTTGCTGGTAAATAAAACATTTTTAAAAAATGTAAGTATCATGCTTAAGGTTCTTAATTCAAACCTCCAAAATTATCCAATATAAAAAGAAAATTACTTTGAAAGGAATTATATATAAAAATGACATTCCAAAATTCATGGGATAGGTGCCTAGTATCATATAGGATACCTTGTGCCTGGCAAGGTGTTGCAACTCCAGTTGGTATTGATTCCACAAGTATTTGAAATACCTCTGAAGAGATATTGAGTGATGTTATTTATGGAGCTGTCAATAGAACAAACCTAGTAGATAATTGTCTTGTACATGATTTAACTCTGGGTTGCATGTCTCTTACAGCAGACAATTCTAGTTCCTCTGGTTATGATCATTAAGGACCTGTGGTCAGCGACTGTACTATCCACATTGGGTAGTAATGCTTTCCATTAGGTATTCTCAGTGACACTGTAGATCAAAGGATGTCAAATGTTCCCTCAATTTCAGAAATGAAATAGTTGGTGCCAGATGAATAGACTATCATGCCCTGTTTGATAATTCAGGTCAACTTACTATGAGCAGTCCAGCTTGTGTTCACACTGAAACAAATTGGAAAAGCTCTGGGTATTTCTCTGATGTCAATGTCCGGTAGCACCACCTACCATTGCATTTATATATTCTGATCCCTTGACTTTTAATATATCATTGTATACAACTATCTATATGGGTGGTTGGATATTTAACTTTTTCTTCTCTTAGACAAACAAATCTAACACTTACATTGGTTGAGATGAAGTTATGTTGGTCACTTCATAGTGTGACGAAAGTGGTCAGTCAGTTATCTTCCAGGACTCAAATTGAGCAGTTGCTTCTGTTTAGCCAAGGAACTTTGGCCTGGGTTGAGGCTAAATCTGCCTGACCCAGTCACATGGGGCAGCTTACAAGCCTATGGTGCTGTTTTCCTATTGAAATATATCTTCACCAGGTAAAGAAAATATTTCCAACTCACAGTCCTCACGATGTTGGGAGAAACTCAGCATTTGCTGTCACCAGTTTTCAGAATGTCTTCAATAGAGACATGGATAAATCTGGTCTGCTTGAATCTGAAATACTAAATATAGCTTCTCCAGTTCCCATTCAGAATTATTATACACAAAACTTTTTTTCATCTCCTTTTAAGGCTTGTTCTGTAGATATGTGTTATATTTTCTGTGTGGGACACATGTAAATATGCACATATAATTTTGTGTATACCTTAGCAGTATAAAAATCATCCTGAGAACCAAGCATGTTTGTCATTCCTTTTCCTTTAAGCCATTCCATTCCATCCATGAGATAAGGTGTTATTATATCATGGATATAATAATGCTCATAATGGAGGAAATGAAAATGAGTGAATATTCCATTTTTCCATTAATGCATCCTTTAATAGCATATTCTAGTAAGTTATGTTCATAAATGCAACTAACCTTTAACCGTTTAATAGTACTTTTGATTATCAGCATTTATAAGAATGACTGGATTATTCCAACATATTTTTTTAAAATGAAGCACTTTGATTATAACTTATTTTGTTAATGGAATTTCAGTAAGAGAGAAGAACTAGTAATAAAACAATAGTAATAGAATGAATGGATTGGCTGTTGAGATCATAGACTACTTGTTTATGTAAACTATAAGAATGATATAAAATAAATACATGAAATAATAGTATGTATGTTGTACTAGCAAAATCCTGAGGCTTTTCTAATGGTAAGTCCTTCAAAAGAAAAAAGGTCATATTATTGTTAAATGAAAAGAAAGTTGGCTTTTGACAAATATTTAAGTTATTAAAAACCACTTTTTCTTGCAGATTTTCATGTCCAGAAAGTTGACTTTGATATCCAAAGACACTCTCTCTCTCCAGATCAATTTCATAGTTCTAATTAAAACAAAACCGTGTTTTTAAATAATTATTTTGTAATATATTGTTTTCTTTAGTTTAACAGAATCAGAAAAACTAATATAAAAAAAAAAAATGTTGATGAATATATTGAAACCCTGAACAATAAACAGTATTTTATAGAGAACCTCATTTAAAAGAGATCCTCAAGAACTGGATATGTTATTTTCCATTGTAGAACTTTGTAAATTTCACTAAAATTTAAGTAAGAATGAACTGACTTCATATTTTGTATATTATTCATAAAAACAATTGTTTTGTAGCTATCATTTGATCAATAGGCAAACTAATTTTTAAAATAAAACAGCAATGTAATAAATGTAAATAAATGCTACAAATAAACTGAGTACATAAACTTGTACCATAACTTTGTCTTCCACTATCTCTTTGAATTTGTTTTTGGTCTGGTTTTATAAATAAAGTGAATGTCTGAGTTTATGCATAAAGAAATACCACACGTCCAAAAATGAAGACCCTAATTTTTTATATGATTCAAGTATATATATTGTTCTCTGGGCTTAATTTAAAAGAAAGCTAAACTATCAAAACCAATGGAACAAAATTTATATTGAAAATATATACATACATACACATACAGCATTTCATGTCATATAACGTGCAAATTTTGAATAAACCTCAGAACAAGCATGCATCACATTAACATGGCAATGGAATTTTCTGATTGAAGACGTTAGTCATAAATTGTCAAAAATCAAATATTCAATAACACTGCAAAATTTACCTAAGCAGTGGAATTTTTCTACTTTGATTATTTTTCTTTAGGTTTTACATTTTATATCTTTGTTTCTTCCATTAAAACCATTGAAGTATTTTGATGTTATTTCTTCCTGAAATTCAGCATAAAAATTAGGGAGTGCATTGTATATAAAGGCTTGTTATGGCATGAAAGACTGTGTCTGTGTGTGTATATATATATATATATACACACACCACAATTATGAATGTATGTGTAAGTGCTGGAATTGTAGGTGTATTAAAAAAACAAAGAATTTCTGTAAGCTACAAAGTGGTTCTGATGCTTGAATATGGATACACAACTTTCACCCATTTATTCATCATAACATAAATGCATTTATTCTCACACGTTAGACATATGGAAATACAATTATATACACATTTGCATATTCAAGTCTCTTTTTGCCTTAATATAAACAACTTTTAACAAAAAAAGAAAAAATTGAAGCGAAGCAGAAATGATTGGAAACATTATACCCTCCAAAAGAAAGGAACTGTTTCATTTCACATTTATTCAACACAGCCACATGCAGTAAAGGTCATTCATACTTTAAATTGTATATTCTTTACAGTAACATCCATGCTAAGCTATTGAATTTAAATTAAATCATGCAGCAATTTATCATCTGTAAAAAAAGGGTTCTGTAAACAGAAAATCTTACACTAATGACCTTAACTTCTCTATATTCAGAGAATTAAATAGTTTTTGAATTCTCAAGAATGTCACTTTGATCATTTTTCGAAAATCGTAGCAAAATATTTTGTGGAAAACCTAGTTTTATTAGTTGGAGGTCTTGAATTATTTTCAACAGGAAAATAACTTCCCAAAATATAGTGTTGGCTATATTTAATTTTATTGAAGTTAATTTTTTTTATATTCAAGAATGTAATCCGCCAAAACATATGCCAGGAATGAAAATGAGACATTCAATAAAGTCAATTCAAGAACTGTTGCTTTTAGTGTTTGGGAAATATAATAAATACAATTAGCAGTATTTACTCTTCTTGCTTTGTCATGTTCATTTTGTATCTTGTTACTCTGATGATTTTGAGCATTATCAAAAATTGTTTAGAACGAGATTTAATAGAATTATAAAGTAACAATGAACAAAATGAACATATATATATATATATATAAAAAAAAAAAAAAAAACAGGTAAAAAGTAAAGGTAAAATAACCCCAGCTGTTACCAGCAAGACTTTTAAACTAAAATATACCAAAACTATTAAATAACCTGGTTGCATCCAAAGCAATAAGCCAGTAAAAAATTATTTAGTTTTGGCTATCTTAGTAATACTAAAAACCTTTTTGCTAAATATTCAAACACGCTTAAGTTAAAACGACTCTAGTGCTAAAGGGAGGTAACTGTGAAACTACCATGAAAACCCTTCTATTCTAAATAACAACATAAAACTAGCTTTTCTAATCACTAACCTAATAAAAGGGAAAGGGTGGAAGGAAGGAAGAAAGGAATGAAAAGAAGCCAATCCAGAATTTTTATTTCTTAGATACAAACCATAAAAACGGACTTTTTTTTTTTTTTTTTTTTAAATAACTTTGGTATTAAAGCAGAAGAGAACTGAACTTGGAATAAGTACAAGTTTTTCATTTGTATATGAAGATCTCCCAAAAGAAAAGAAAATGTGGAGAGCTCTGACTGCCAACATCCTGGGGAACATGACATACAGATCTCTCTGAGAAGTTCTCATAATGGGGTATATGTGTGATTTTCAACTCTTCATCACTGTCTTAAGATATTGGTTAATGAAAAAGATAATTTGTAGTCATAGCTGACTACCTTTACATATTTTTTTAAGGTCATGTGGGAATAACCTGATACTGCCAATAAATGTAATAAAAATTCAAACTTTTAATATATTTTATATTCTTTTTGGTTTGTATTTGATAAAAATTCTGAATTAGTTAAAGAAATTTTGGAAAGAAAAGAAATGAAGAAAGGCAGAATAATGAAATGATTCAATAAAAAAAGTAATTAAAGAAAAAATACATCCATCGAAAGCTGAAAAATATATTACTTAATGCGTTTTTAAGAAATCTATTGCTGTAATATTCCAAAGAATATTTTTAAAATAAACACATTAAAATATTTAAAGAAAAAAAAATAGTAAAAACATAAGAGGTAAAATAAAGACTAATATAATAAAACTTCAGGTACTTACCTGTAGATCTCCCATACTGCTGTCTTCGGGTATCACGGTCTGCAGGTAGAACAAGTAAAACACTATACCAGAAGTCATTAAAGATCCTACACCTGGCCGACAGACAAATACATGCATGATAAATATTCTCTGCCAACAGGTGACAAACACAAAGCTTTGCAACATAACATATTACCAACAGTGAAACAGATATGAAGACAAAAACAAGTTGGGAATAAGATGACTTGGATGGTTACATAACAATGAAGACAACTGGGACAATACAATCTCAATGGTAATGATACTAGAGCAAAGTAGTAACAAATGCATATAAGCAGATAACATTGTATTAAAGAATATTATCTGTTTATATACACTATATATAAAAACTGAAACCAATATATCACAGGACTCATTATTAATATATACATATAACATGATATAACAGTCTCACTGGTGTAACTACATGTAACTTTAATTATGAAAAATCTTTTCTAAAATATCATCCCAACCAAAATAATGAACAAAGTGAGTATTTTATTAAGAAAAATATACTGTAAGGAATTTACTGTATGGCACCCATCATATTATTATAATACATTCACCAAGGTCAGTAAAAGGTCATTAGAGTATTCAAATTTATCAGTATTTTTGTTAACACTTTGTGTATACAGCATGAAACTCTCCACTCACAATTATAACATTGTTGATATATTGCAGTATATCTGAATTCACATAAAATTGAGGTTTGACTAATTCCAAATGGATGAAATACTTGAATTCTTATTAACTAGGCAACTAAATGACTATAAAACATACAGTTACCAATAATGTGACCTAAAACATCCATAGAACCAAAACAAAGTGCATACAAACTGACTAAGAATGATTGACACTTGCTCTGTCTTAAAGGACTATTTAAGATTGGAATGAACTTATAAAAGCAGACATCATGAAACTATAAGCAGAAAAATCTTAACAGGATAAAATAAGTAGTAATTTCTGTATAGACTGGCCTTTCAAAACAATCTTTCAACATTTAAAAACATACTCACTCACTATATATATATATATATATATATATATATATATATAGCTTAATAATAATTGTATCTAGTTATGATTTGAAGATTAATAAGCATTTTGGTATTTAGGAAAATTTAGCTACTACACCTTGTGGTTCAGAGAGAATATTGAGAATAAATAAAGCAAAAATATGTACAAATTATAAAACATTATTAGCTGTATCAGATCCACTGAGTCAGGTGCAGTATATCTGTGTAATTCTGCACAATAGCTGATATATATATTTTAATAAAGAAGTTACTATATGACAAATCTGAAAACTTGTATTGATGTTCATTTTTTGTAATCTTTTCCATTCTACAAGGTTTAAAAGTTTGTACCAGTCTGATTAGGTAGCAAATAAATACTGGTTACATTATAAAACAAGTTCTAAGTAAACAAGATACTGAAAATGTGATAGCTGAATAGTTAATACTATAGAAAATGGAATTGTTAATCCAAGTTCAAATTCAGACTGTGTGGATTCACTTCAAATTCATGCCATTAGAAAATGTATGAAATCATTCACCCCATCAGCTATAAGAGGTAAACAGTAGAGTGCTTGTTAATGTTTTTTTTTCTGACAGAGAAGAGGAATAAATGAAACTACAAGGCTGGATAAAGTACGGGGATAGTCATGGAGCTGGAAACTTTACTCTATTAAAACCTAATCTATTACTAAAACAGTGAATGCCACTCTATGCTCCACAGGGTTCCTATAGTTATTAATGGTGAAACAATATATTTGACAAATATTTAAATTTGTAAAGATGTTATTTGGTATATAAAATTATGCATACTTAAAGGAGATCTTATTGTTATAAATATATGTCAACTTTCTTCTTTTTTTTTTAATATGAATTATATTTGAAAAATAGTTGATGCATAAAAACTCTATTTTGGTCACAGACATTTTCTTTTTCTAAAAAGAATTACATTAACTTTTAATATAATGAAGGTGATTTTGCTTGCAAAGCAAAAGTGTTATCCAGCCACTGCAAGTGACTCAGATGAATGAATAATAGCATGTTTGAATTTTGCAGTTGTGTTGTCATATCCTGCTATGGCAACAGAAATTACCATAATTGCAATTAAGTAATGCAGTAGAGGAGCCTAGAAAAACAATGCAGGGGAAAAAAGTAGTGAATAATACAGAGTGTTAAAGGTTAAGAAAAATATTAAGATTGAAAATAAACATGCTGTGAGTTGAAAGTTTTATTCTAGATGGAGGGCTGATTTGGAATGCTGATTTTTTAAAAATTTTATTTATTTTTTAAATTCAAATCTGTATTTTTTTTAAATAAAATTGAAACTAATGCTATACAGTCATAATTCTGAAATGTGAACTACATTGAGAATAAAATCTCTATTCAATCCTTTCTGTGAATTGAAAACATTGAAATTGTAATCTGAATGAATATAGAATTCTAACTCTAATGGCAAATTAAGTCAATAGTAGAACTGCACAAAGAAATGTAAACCACATTATACTTAAATTTAAGATCAGAGATTCTTCTAAACAATCTGTTACATTGCAGCTATATTGTGAGTGAGTGCTGTATTGAAATTGTATTCAGAATAGGTAACCTTGTTTCAGTTGGCAAAACCATTGAGTTTTAATCACAAACATAAAACCACAACAAGGTTCCAGCTGATACATTACCAAAGGTAAGATAACGAAAATGGAAGCAAAAGTTTTCTGGTTTTAAGGATTTAAAAATTGAAAGAAAGAAAGAAAAGGAGAGAAAGAGAAAATGAGCATAGAATAAAAATAAACATCAAAAAACATTAATTTTGTTCTCATAGGATTTAGTAAAGTACTCCAAAAGATTTAACCTATGAACTTTGACAGGAGCAGTTCAGTTGCCATTTAGTAAATGCAGTGGTAGCTTTAATAAATAGAAATTTTTCCTATTTTGTACTGAATTATATATGCAAGTGTTTGTGACTGATTGAAATTTCTGTCATTTGCAGTTGATCCCTAGAACTGCAATGGCTAAAATTCTTGTTACTAGCCGTTAATGGGATGAGAAATTTCTCCAATTAAGTTGTCATTACTACAAATTCAGATTCTGCTGTTGGCATTCAAGAAAGAATTTAGGATGAAATGACTACATGAAAATAGTGTTTCTTTAAACAGAAAAAGATAGAGTTAATGCTCAGATTTGTCTGAATAATTGAACTTTTTGTGCTGGTTGTGATGATGATTTAATTGCCAAGTCAGGATATAGATGGTCATGGCTCTCCATAACTTCCTATATTTTGTTGCTTCAAGTAACTTAATCTTTTACCACTCTTCTTTATCTCTGTTATCCATTCACATAAACTAGTTAAGTAGTTTACTTGCTGTTTCTCTCTGCTTCTTTTGCTATCAATATATGCTGTGAGTGTTAAATTCTCCAAGCCCTTTTTCTTAATAATGTGTCCCAAAATTTTCAGCTGTCTCTTTCACATTGTTAGTAGTAACTTACTTGCTGTTCCTATTTTCTCATCAGACTTAATTGCTGCTCCCAACTTCTGTCCATTGTATTGTAATACCTTTTAGAATAATGAATTAAGGACAACATTGAAGTGGAAAATAAAGTGATTATCATATTGTGAACTGAGAGCCAATTTGTAACTTAAAAAATCAATAAAAGAAATTATTTTGAATTACTTAAGAAAATTAATCAAACATAAAATTAATGTATCTGCCTTTGAAATTTCTGCTAAATTATTATTATTATACAGAAATTGTAGAATACTTCTGAGACTAATATGTTGATTCAGATGAAATTGAATCAATGTACTTTTTCCCCACCAGATAAAAATAACAATCACCATCATAAGTAATGGATGGTATAAAATTAAGGTAATGATGATTAAAATCCAAAGGTTCTTTAAAATATAGAAAAACCTTTAAATGTCTTTTGAATATTAAAACTTTCTCTTTCTCTTCATTTTCATATATTTAAACAACTGTTGTCTTTATATGTATTCATGCAAGCAAATAAGCAAATTGGAGATTTTTTAAAAATTAAATGTAAAAGTAAAACAAAAATGAAACTAACACAAAATATTTAAAAAAAGACAACTAAAATAAAAATATCATCATTTCTGATAGAAGAGAAATTTATAGAAAAATAAGGGAAAATAAACAAAATAGGCACACAACAACAAAAATAAAATAAATATAATATTATCAGATGAATTTGGTAGTATGAATGGAATTTAAGAAAAATGAATTAGTATGTCATTGTATAGTTATCAAACTAACACTAGCAATCTGCATGGTCATTTATGAGGGAGATAACTCAAAGCTACCTAATGTAGCCTGCAGACCAGTGTGCAGAAAGATTTCTTTGACACACATATTCTGGTATCAATACATGCTCAAAGCAACCAGAAATATTATTTTCTGAATTTAAAAATTTATCTTTTAGAAGACACTTCCACCTTTGCTAAGGTAATATATAAGTAAAAGTATTAAATAATATATATAAACAATTTCTTCATCTATACAAGAAAGAGAAAAAAAGGGCATTGAATAAACTGGAAACCTTTCAAGTTTTACTGTTTATATCATAATGTTCAGCTGAAAATATAGAATATAATAATAATAGGAGAAGGATTTAGCAGCACTTGACCAAATGCAAAAGAAAATGACATTCTGCAGTAAGTCTAAAAGATTGATATTTTTTTTTTTTTTTTTTTTACAGGTTTTGCAGGTTATTTAAGCTGGAAAATATTTTTAGATAGTAAAAATTTCTTTTGGATAATAATGATTAACTGGCATAAGTCCTGCTAATTAATCCATAGCTGGGAGGAGAAAAGAAGGGTTGGATTCATACCTTTCTCAAGAGTATTTGCATTGGAATTCAGCTCTCCAATTTCCAATTCAGAGCTCTTATCCCTTACACCACACACACACATCTAAGCTTACATCATCTAGTATTCCTAAGCAGTCACCCATCTAGCTACTGACCAGGCTTGACATTGCTTAACTTCAGTGATTG